AAACTTTCAAAGTTCAAACTAACTTGAAGAAAAAAAAACATTATTCATTGCTGAAAGATCCTTTAGTTTGTTTCAGACTTTTATTCAAAGTTACACAAAGGGCTTAACCATTCTTGATTTTGAGCTGATACTCTACAAGGAAGGCAGCACCCACGTCCAGCCCCTGGGCTACTCTTGTCTGATTGAATAGTGAGTGGTATTTAACCCACGACTCCAAAATGCAGACTACTTTTATGTGACAGCGGGTCATGAACCCTGAATCCTCGGACTTACCGTCCGGACACGCTAACCACTGGGTCACATCTAACCAAAATGCACGAGTATTTGTTTTGATATGCGTGAGTCCCAGTTTCACAGTTTCAATTTAAATAGTTCATAAAACAAACGTTTTTTTTTAAAGAGATTTATTTTGTTCTGAAAACACGCCTGCTGTAACTTTGGTCTTTTCAACCTGAACGACATCTTGTGTGACAAATGGGCTAAATGGCCAGGTCAAAGATCCCTTAGGTTCAGATATAGCCATCCCTAACTTTTAATCACTGACCAGTGGTTGGTAACCACCCTTTTCCCTTTCACGAATCCATGAAAAGGGGGGGGGGAATTATAGAAGAATTCTTACTGGGTTGATAAAGTTTTGTATATACAGTTTATTTAGAAGCCAAGAAGAAAAAAAAATTAAAACTGTAATACAACTCATCGTCACGACCACCACCACCCGCTCTTCTGCGATTCCCTTCAGGGTTGCAACCCACGATTTAAAAAGACTTGTAACAGCGGGACCGACAGTTAAAGTCAAAATACTCCCACGTAATCAATTACCCGTACAGTTTATTTTGTTTTGATTTCTTTTCCTGCGAAATATTCTTAATAAAGATCCATTACACAAGTAAATGTAGCTACCGCTCATTTCAAGATTAGACAACTTTAAACGTGCAGTAAAATATAAATTCATAAATGTCAAGGTAGACCTTAGTAAATCTTACTTTTTACATGCTACAGTGTAAATGCTACATGAATATACCGTGTGGTATAGTACCAGTAATAACGTAGAAAATGGTGTTTAAGAAGGCCACCCCCCGAAAAAAAAGTATGATATGGTAACAAAGTAACACTGTCTTATGAAAAATGTCCCCTGTGTGGAACAGCGGTAAGTCTTCGGATTTACAACGCTAAAATATTATTTCTAGAATTCGGCTTGTAGTTGGGCAACATTGCCGTCTTCAACCCTATGTTGAGATAAGCGTTTCGAAAATGAGACCGTTTGTAATTTACGTAGAACTAACTGAACGTGTTAACTTTAAAGAGGTTGTTATTATCGATGTATTCTTTTTGTATCGTAAAGCAGGGTGTATTACTTTTGATATTGGAAAATATTTGTGGCAACGGTTTTTATTTGTTTCAAAGCTGGTCAACATCGACAGTTATATGCAAAAAAAAGAGGTTTTCACTCATAATAATAGCTAACACTGAGGCTGTATAATTTTCACTTACAATGATATATATAGCTGATATTGAGGCTGTATACTTTTCACTTACAATGATATATAGCTGACATTGAGGTCGTACATTTTTCACACAAAGGTTTTCGTTGACATTGAGGTTGTATACTTTTCACACAAAGGTTTAGCTGATATTGAGGGTGTATAATTTTCACTTACAATGATATATAGCTAGCTGACAGTGAGGTTGTATATTTTTTCACAAAGGTTGTATAACTTTTCACACAAAGGTTTAGCTGACATTGAAGCTGTACAAGTTTCACTTACGATGATATATAGCTGATATTGAGGTTGTATAATTTTCACACAAAGGTTTAGCTGACATTGAGGTTGTATAGCTTTCACTTACAATAGTATCTGACTTTTAGGTTTTAACATAAAAAAGTCACTGGCCAACATCTATGTCTGTATTGTCGAAAATTTTGTTTGTTTGTTGTTAAGCACAAAGCTAAACAATGGGTCATCATTGTTGTGTCCACCGCAGGTATCGAAACCCGGTTATAAGCCTTCAGAGTTACGTATTTAAATACGTTATTAAGATAATACCAATAAAAACTTTTCCACAATACTCATCGGTATGACGTCATACGTTTGTGCAGTAGCGACAAACCTTCTGCTCCTGTTAGAGCTGTATTATTCGGAACTAAATACATTCTTACTAAATACGTGTCGAACTTTTAGTTCAGGCTTTAGGCTTAGCTGACGTGCTGGTTGAACATTTGACGTTAATTATTCTAGTGTCATCTAATTGTCTTGCCGATATGGTTAAATATGTTGGACTCTGGTCACGGGCATCACCAGTGTTCCTCCCATTATACACTTCGTTTAGCCCCTCCTGGTGGTAGCCAAAATTATCTGGTAATAGTGAAACACACTGCACTTAGATCACTGTACACTTTCTGCCCTTTTTCTTAAAGTTAAGTAGAATTAATTGGCAAAATACCAAGTCAAACCAAACTTTTATATTTGCTCTGTGAAGCAAAAAAATGAACGCTTGATTTTGTTATATGTTAATTAATTTGGGTTGTTATATGAAGCCTTTAAAAGTTAGAATTTTCACCGCGTCATATTACTAAGCCTTTTTATTCAAGTCTTAAAAAATTTGAAAAACCACTTACCAATGAATTTTATCGATTTACATTTGTACCATTTCTTTTCTCTTTTATCTTATCTTGTTTGTTTGTTTTAGAGTAAAGCCACGTCGGACTATCTACTGTGTCCAAAGCGGGGAATCGAACCCCGGATTTTAGCTTTGTAAGTTCGTTCATGACATGTCCAAAGTATGTCAAACATTGCATACTTAAAGAAGAGAGAAGAAAACAAGAACACTAACGTACTGCTCATGAATGCAGTTGGAATATCCACCTATTTCTACAAATGAATAGAATACACAATAAGACAACCCTAATAAGAACGGTTGTGCGTGTTTTAGGTTTTGAAACATGGGTTTGTGCCCAAGAATATACCAGTGTTTCCTCACTTCATTGAGGAAAATCTTCCAACAGATGCTAAAACACAACTGGTCAAATTAAATTATTTAAGTGTTCGTGAGTTCTTGATTTTTAAGCCTTTAAAGTGAAACATATTTCACTGTGCATTATATATATGCCGGGTTAGTCAAAAGTTCTGGTTTTTTTATATTTTGTTTGTAAAGTAGCAGTGGAATATCGTAAGTACATATGTTTAAGCCTATTGGGGGGGGGGGGTCATTTGTTACCTAATATTATGTCATGATATAAAGGTCAAATTAAGGTCAACCACGTGCATATGAACCTGATGATTATGGCACTTTACTCGCAATCTGAGGGTCGTAGGTTCTAATCCCGTCCCTTAATTTGCTCTCCCCCTTCAGCCGTAAGGACGTTATAATGTGACTGTCAATCCCACTAGTCGTCGGTAAAAGAGTATCTCCAGAGTTGGCGGTTGGTGTTGTTGTTGTTTAACTATGTCAGCAGACTCACGATCTTCCACACCCATTTCACAAAAATAGAGAAAATCAGAAAATTTTGACTAACCCTGTGTTTGTATATATGTATGTGTGTGTGTGTGTGTGTGTGTGTATATATATATATATATA